GGAACACGACCGCTCCGAGCATCGGGGTGGGCCAATTACGGTAAAACTTACGCCACCACGCGCCTGAAACTGCGCCCGAACCCAATACATTCAAATCACCGAACACAGGCCCTGGAAAAGGCTAGACTAGAGTTGTAGACCCCCCGTACAACAAAATGGGGGGAGGAGGGGGGGTCTGAACATGGACGAACTTCTTCGGCCCCAGATGGCATCCCGCGAGGCTATTTGGAAATACAGATACGATGCTGGGCTCTTTCGCAAAATAAGGATAAAGGGGTCCTGCCACGCGGGGTCGGGGACAACGCCTTGGACGCAAAAACAAACAGGTCATTCAGAGGCGCGCGGTGGGTCGGTGGGAAGAATCTTGGATGCACCGACGTGCAAACCCTTATCTATATCTGGTGCCAACATACTTATTCTATATAACTATAGATTTAACGTTATTTTCGTTTACGCAACATATTTAGTGCTAACTATGTTGTCGTTATGACAAGTTGTTGTTTAGCTAACAGATATGTTCGTGCTACATGGGAGCAATGTCATTATCGCTAGCGCTAAATACGCCTAGCGAAGAAATGTCATAGTTAAAGAAATCGTTATAAATCAAGCGGATCAAAGAGTCTGGGAGGGGGTGCGACACTTTCGTGGGCTCCTGGGAGGCCCAGCGGAGGTACGTCCCACGCGGACCACCTCGGGACCTCGCCGCCCTCTGGGGGGCTTGCGATCTGCGAAACTGTCGGCACTTTCGTGGGCTTCTGGGAGGCCCAGCGGAGTCACGTCCCACGCGGACCACCTCGAGACCTCGCCGCCCCCCGGCGGGCTTGCGATCTGCGCAACTGTCGGCACTTGCGTGGGCTCTTGGGACGCCCAGCGGAGGTACGTCCCACTCAGATCACCTCGGGACCTCGCCCCCCCCTGGGGGGCTTGCGATCTGCGCAACTGTCGCTACTTTCGTGGGCTCTTGGGAGGCCCAGCGGAGGTACGTCCCACGCGGACCACCTCGCGACCTCGCCGCCCCCTGGGGGGCTCGGGATCTGCGCAACTGTCGCTATTTTCGTGGGCTCCTGGGAGGCCCAGCGGAGTCACGTCCCACGCGGACCACCTCGGGACCTCGCCGCCCCCCGGCGGGCTTGCGATCTGCGCAACTGTCGCCACGTTCGTGGGCTCCTGGGAGGCCCAGCGGAGGTACGTCCCACGCGGACCACCTCGGGACCTCGCCGCCCTCTGGGGGGCTTGCGATCTGCGTAACTGTCGCTACTTTCGTGGGCTCCTGGGAGGCCCAGCGGAGGTACGTCCCACGCGGACCACCTCGGGACCACAGCGGTTCTGAATGTGATCGCCACATGTGTAAAAAGGGTTGGGCACGTCGCAGGGTAATGTTTATTCAGAAATCCTCGATCTTCGAGGGTTTGAAACGGGAAAACGTGATAAGGCGAAAAACATGTATAAAAAAACATTGGACATCAACGAATTTACCCTCTTTGGGCTCGCTCGGAACGGCTCTCGCAGCTCTCTTGGGCTGTTCGAAAAGCTTCGTCAGGGTCTTTTTGGGGCCTCTCAGGGATCGGGGGTGTGTTGGGGGCCTCTGGAAGGTCTTGGGGCGGTCTTGGGAGCCTCTTCGGCGCTCTTGGACCATTGGAAGCTCGAAAACGCGAGAAGCCAAAAACATGGAAAACACCAACGAACAAATCAACGATGTTGGCCTCTTCGGGCTGTCCTGGGACGCCTCTAGGACCTCTCTGGTGGTCTCTTGGAGGCCGCCTGGGAGCCTCGAGAGCCGTCGGAAGGCTGACTTGGGCTGCTTGGGAGCGTCTTGGACCATCCTTCCGCATTCTGGGGGCTCCTGGGAGGGCCTTGGGCCCTCCTGGGGCGCTGTGGAGGCTCCCCGGAAAGGCGTCTTGGGCTCCTGGGGGGCGTTCTTGGGCGGTTTGGGCGCCTCGGCGGCCGTCTTGGCCCCCTCGTGGGCCCTCTTGGAGCCCTCTTGGGGGCATCCTCGACCGGCTTGGGTGCCTCTTGGGCCGTCTTGGACGCAGTGGAAGCCCAAAAGGCCAAAACGCCAGAATATTAGTTCTCCCATCGGAAATCGGCGATGTTTGCTTACTGGGGCTCTATTGGGGTGCCTCTTGGGGCGTGTTCGGGGCCTAATGTTTGTGTTGTGGGGGACCTCTTGGGGCTTCTTGGGCGCTTCTTGGAGCTTCGTGGGGTCTCCTGGGGGCCTCTTCCGCCAAATGGCTCGCATTTTCGGTTCCTCGTCCCCGCCTTGGGCGCCGCGTCGGTTTGGGGCGTTCTTGGGCGGTTTAGGCGTGTCGTGGGCCGTCTTGGCCCCCTCGTGGGCCGTCTTGGAGCCCTCTTGAGGGCATCCTCGATCGTCTTGGGTGCCTCTTGGGCCGTCTTGGACGCAGTGGAAGCCCAAAAGGCGAACACGCCAAAAATATCAGTTTTCCCTTAGGAAATCGCCGATGCTTGATTATTTGGGGCTCTATTGGGGTGCCTCTTGGGAGCCTTATGGGGGTTTCTTGGGTGCCTCTTGGGGTCTCCTTGGGGGCCTCTTGGGGCCTCCTGGGAGCCTCTTGGGGCCTCCTGGGAGCCTCTGGGGCCAAAAGCTCGGAATTTGAATATGGTTGTGCGCCTCTGGGACCCCTCTGGGGCTCGTCCTGGGGCTCTCTTGGGCTGTCTTGGGGGCCTCTCGGGCCGTCTTGGGACACTCTGGGGGTCGTCTTGGAGCCCTCTTGGGAGCCTGTGGGGAAGTCTTGGGGGCCTCTTCGACCGTCTTGGACGCAGTGGAAGCCCAAAAGGCGAACACGCCAAAAATACCAGTTTCCCCTTTGGAAATCAACGATTCTTACTTGTTGGGGCTCTCTCGGGGTGCCTCTTGGGGCGTCTTCGGGGCCTTCGGGGGCCTTCTTGGCGTCATGGGAGTCGTCTTGAAAGGCGTCTAGAGCCATCGCCGCGGCCTCCTGGGGCATCCCTGCAGCCTCTTGGGGCCCTCTTGGCCCCGGGTCGCCGAAACCCAATTTTTCAAAAAGCATAGGGAAAACGACGATCGGTACCCCCATGCCCCGTCGAGGTCGCGGTCCCGGCCCCCTGGGCCTCGTGCACGGGGGTACACACATATGTATATATATATATATATATATATATATATATATATATATACATATGTATACATACATATATAATATATATATATATATATGTATATGCATACACATATATGTATATACACATATATGTATATATATATATATATATATATACAAGACTGCATTGGCGCTTCGCGCCATGCACCTTGGTTCTTGAAGCTCGGCATGCAGGAGAGCCAAATATAGCGATGAGTCATTGTTGCCGTTTGCGCCATCGTCGTTATAGTAATGTTATGTACTATCCTTATACTTCCTCTCCTCTTACTCGTAATCTTCCTTGTCTGCGAGCCACTCCTTGTCCTCATCCCCAGTTTTTATTGCAGGGGCTCCTCTTTGGAGGTGTTCCTGGGCCCCTCTCAAAAGCTTTTTGGGGACCTCTGGGGGCCTCCTGGGCGCCTTTTGGGGGCCTCTGGGGGCTTCTTGCGGCCACCTTGCTACCAACCACGGTCTCCCTGAACGACCGGGTCACGATTTGGAGTGCTTCGGGAGGCGTCTTGGGGCCATCTGGGGCTGTCAGCGGGGCTCTCTTGGGGCCATCTTGCGGCCCTGTTGGACCATATTGGGGCTCTTTTGGACTGTCTGGAAGCCCTTTGACACCGTTGTGGGAGGATTTTTGGGGCCTCTTCGGCGGACTCGGACGCACGGAATACCGAAGAACCGAATGTCCAAAAATTCTTTCTTTTTTTAAGGCAAAAAAAAAGGAAAGGAAAGGAAAGTGTTGTTTTTTTGCACTTGGAGGACCTCCTGGGGGTTTTCTTTGGGTCGTCTTCGGGCGTCTTGGGGCTGTCTGGGGCCGCGTGGGGCTCTCGCGGGGCCGTTTGGCCGCCCTCCTGACCGCTTTGGGCCCGCTGGCAAGGCCCCGCAGGGGCGTCCAGGAGGCCCGGAAGGCCTGGGGGACCCCTTGCAAGGCGTCCAGGGGGCCCGAAAAGCGCCAGATCCCGGGGGTCCGATTTTCGGGGGGGGGGGGGTCCCACCCCCCCGGATTGTAAAAATATAGAAAAGGGAATACGTATGTATATATATATATATATATATATATATGTGTGTGTATGTATGCATGCATGCATGTATGTATGTATGCATGCATGCATGTATGTATGTATATGTGTATGTATGTATGTATATACGTACGCATATATGTATGTATGTATGTATGTATGTATGTATGTATGTATGTATGTATGTATGCATATGCATATATGTACATGTATATACATATGTGTATGTGTTTATATGTGTGTATATGAAAAATGTGTGTGTACTTATATGTATATGTATACAAATACACACATATATGTATATAGGTGTGTGTGTTGTATGTATCTGTATGTGTCGGCGGCAGGCCCCCGACGGCAGAACCGCACGTCCCTGGGCAGCGTGGGGAGCACCCAGGCCCCGCTTTTTGCCACGAACGGGGCGCCCCAGGCCCCCCTGGGCTTAGGTCGGGCATGCCCCCCCTACAGTCGGGGAGACGTAAGACCCGGGTACGGGGGACTCGGGTTGGCCCGACGAGGTCGTCAAAAAAATGACGAGGCCGAGCCTGCATTTTGACGAGGCCTCCCGCTGCAGACATCCCACGAAACTCCTCCTCGTCAAAATCCGAGGCGCGGTCGTCAAAAAACGATGGCGAACCCGAGTCCTGGCAAACCCAGGTCTTACGCTCCCCCGATACAGGCGGATTTTCGAAGAACAAGAAAAATAGCAGCAAAACAACAAACATTCAAACATATGCCAGAGCAATCGAGAAGTCGCCCCCGGACCACATGTTTACACCATCTTTGAGCTTGCCTCCTGTAGAGGGACACAGGCCCGACCCAACCCCGGGCCCCCCCCCCCCTTCTGGCCCCCTGAGACAACCTCCCGCATCGCGGCGCTCTCCTTCGTCCTCCCCGCCTGCTCGGACAGTGCAGCGTTGGCGGCGGCGACACCCTCTGCCGCAGGCCCCAGCGGGTGCACCTTCTGCCCAGCCAGGACGGAGTGCCGCAGCGGCACTGGTCGGCTCAACGTGGCAATGGCGTGCACGGGCGTGCAGCGTGCCTCGCAGATCCAGCCCGCAACGTCTCGGAAGTTCGGAACGGTGGCGCTCAAGCAGACGAGAGGCACACCAGGCGGAAGCATAAGCACGGCCTCCTCCCATGCCACGCCTCGCTCCTCGTCCGCTAAATAATGTATCTCATCGAAGATCACCGCGCGGAGGTCTCGCGAGAAGGAGGCCTCCCCAAGGCGGGCACGAAAGATTTCGGTCGTTGCGACAAGGATCCGCGCATCAGGGCGTATCTGCGTGTCTCCAGTGAGGAGCCCGACCTCTCCGGGGAAGGCCTCCGAGAACTCGACGAACTTCTGGTTGGACAAGGCCTTGATCGGGCTGGTATACGCTACCATCCCCATCCGCATGTGGTGGCGCAGAGCGTAGCGCGCCACGCAGGTCTTTCCCGCCGAAGTTGGGGCCGAGACTATCGCAGACTCGCCCGCCGCCACTGCCTCGCATGCTGCCAGTTGGAAAGGTTCCAATTGGTGACCAGCCTCCTGCTCGAACATCTCGACACTTGCTCTGGTTTCTCCTCGCTGGTACTGCGCAGGATGGACACATGCGTGGTACAACTCTGCCGTGTTGGCTAATTCATCCACAACCACTCGCATCGTCTCTGGGACCTTACTCAGGATCGGTGAAAATGCGCCCTGGCCTTCACGAGATATCAAGCACTATTGACTCCAAACGCGGCTCGAAGTATGATTGAGCCTAAATTACAAGCAGAAGCACGCGAGCAGGTGTGCGCTCGCGCGCACATACAGCAGCGCCTCGTAACATGCACACCAACGAATGCGCACGTGCATTTGCCTACACGGCAGGCGCACGTACACATACACACATACACTCTCCTTCCTTCTTTCCCAGTGAAGGCATCGCGCTCCAGATACCATGCTGCGGCAAGCAGATCCAAGGCGGTCTTCGGGGAACGCTGATAAAAACCGCTCGGCTAATGAAAGAAGCCGACAGGACGGGAGGGATGAACAACGCCAACAGATAACATGCACACAGGTACAACTTCTCCATTAGCAGGCTGGTGCGCAGAAGCCTCACTGGTCCAACGTCTCCCAGCACATGGCCAGTCCAGAATCCCTCAGACAACGCAGAGGAGGTCGCGGGGCTAAACGACCCGCCCTCCTTTCACGACACACGCGCACACACGCACGTTATGTTCCAAATCGGACCGACGTGAACCAGGGGCAAATTTGACAAGGGGCGACGGCGAATGTGCAACCCAAACAGGGAGAGCACAAATCGTGTATCGTAGAGGCGATCGTGGCTCAACAACCTTGGCCATGTGAAACGGGCGGGAGGACACACACACACACACACACCCACACACACACACACACTTTTGACGGTCGCGGTCGCTGCAGATCCGAGCGCACCACCACCAGCAAACCATCCGGGCTTGGATGGCGAGGACGTGACAAGCCGACCCAGCGCTGGGCCTCCCAACGGTCGGGAGCGGCCAAGAGGGGGGGGTCCAAGAGGGGGGGGTGCAAATCATGACCGGCGGCATGAGCGCGGCCCAGGTTGGGGGCCAGGGACGTAATAAAATAAGAAGAGGCGCCATGAAATCTGGGAAAATATCATGGCCCCCGCCATGATATCCCCCCCCCTAGTCATCACCCCCCTCTTTGCCGCCCCCGAAACGGGGACGCTGCACACAGGGGTGAAGGAGCACGGGAATATCCCGGGCCGGGGCGGCAGCGAGGCGGCGCGCTCTCCGGCGCCGAGAGCTGGCCAAGACGCAGCGCGGGAAGGCACGGGGAGAGGTGCGCCAAAGGCGGTGGGAGGAGGAGGCGGAGGAGGAGGAGGAGGAGGAGGAG